GATGTGTGCGGCGCTCCTGTTTTTGTCACAATAATCATGAATAATTCATGCCGCGCAAGCTAACCCGTCACAGAGAAAATGCCAGCGGGAGGTAAAGGCGAGTGGGAAACAACCTGAGCTCAGAGGGAAATGTCGGCCCAAGTCTGTCCTTCTGTCCGTCTGTCTGTCCCCGAGTGTGTGCTGATCCAGCTGTGTCAGTGCGTGTCCCGGTTTAAAGCCCCGTCAGCACTAAAGACAAGGGGGGTGTGGGGGGGTAGAAGAGGGCCGGAGTGACCGAAAGAGAGAGCGAGATAAAGAGGAGAAAGGAGAAGGAGGAGGAGGAGTAGTGGGGGGGGTTCTGAGCCGAGCTCCGAGGGTTTCCAACTGTTGCAGACAAAGGCCCCGGCATGGCGCTCTGTGTGACAATAGGCTCTTTGACCCCGGTAAGGGTAAAAGGTGGGGGGGGGGGGGGGGAGTGGAGGAGGGGGAGGGGCGTGGCCGGTGCCCCCATCTGTCCCGGAAAAGAGGAAAAAGAGTGAGAGCGTCCATAAATCTGTACCCCACGGGCTAATCTGTGTGGATGCTAAGGCTATTGGAAGGTGCTAATGCAGAAACCAGGCCGGAGGAAATGGCTGAAAGCTAAAAGTTGCTTTCCACGTTCTGTTCGGCCTCCGTTTTGTCCAGGAGGCGCTTTAAAAACAGCATCACCGCCGGCCAAAGAGCTGCCCGGTGCAAGTTCAGAGGGAAACAAATGACTCAGGTTCTGATCTCTGATGGGCTAAAGCCACCCAAACTAACATTAGGCTAACAAAAGACTTTTTAAATTGTATTATTTTTTCTGGTTGACCTAATTCAAGCAACATTCTTGAGTTTTACAAACAATATTGTTTTTAAAAGACGGCTAAAAAAATCATTTGACTTAACCAAACATAAGCTAAAATGCTAAAGTAGCTTCAGGTGGCTAGTTAGCTTAGCTGTGAACCTGAGCTCATTGTGTTTGAGACATTTATGTCAACCAATACATAAATAGTTGCCCCTCAACATTACCTACATTTATTAGTCACTTCTTCCTCCTCAGAACCACCACGAGGCAAAATAATGTTTATTATCTTTTGGAA